GCCTAGATTGCGCTCTGCGCGTAAGGAATTGGCCATATCAGCTACAGCTGCGAGCCTGGGGGGGAATCCGCGCGAGATGAGGTCAAGTATATGCTCAACAACTACGCCCTCCTCAGTCTTTGTCAGATTCCTTGATTTAGGCCAGCGATCTGCTTGTGGAGTCTGTCCTGCGCGTCGGCGGCTTAGTGTTGTATGAGTGACTTTGTAGATAGCTGCAGCGCGTTGCAAGGAGAGTGTCGCGTCTTGTTTAAGAGCTTGAAGGGCAGTCTGTATCTGACGCTTATTAGAAGGCTCTATCTGGTGTTGTTGTTGAGGCATCACGTATAGAGGTAGAGTTGGTGGGGGCTTGGCAAAAGTGGTGCACGAACCTGTGTGGTGCACGAACCCGTGAGGTACGTTAGCTCTAATAGGAGGTAGCTGCTAGAAAGATTATTATAGAACATGTCTAGTCTATAAGTATAATAGTAGACAGACTTACAAAGGTACTCCTAGTAAATAAGTAGGAAGGTTTCCTCTAGCAACTTAGTCTAGGAAACAGGGAGTTAATAGAAGTGCTAAATAGTATGCCTCTAGACAGGATTTAAGAATAAATTAAGAACCTTACATGTGTATAAATAGTTAGCTTAAAGAGTTTCTAAGCTAAAGGGGGTGTGTTAGATAAGAGTAAGTAGTAAGAGGTTAGATCTGCGCAATTAAGCAGGGACCTGTTGTGCAGCTAATTAGCAGTTGCTAGGTCGATTAAGCGAGACCTGGCAACTCCTGATTGGCCCGCACAACGGCGGACGCGAACAGCGCTAATTCCCCCCCCACTTCAATCCTGTAGCAACCAGCACGACGCCACGGCGGAGACACCATCGCCACGATCATCAATAAATCATCATACCACCTAAGATCTCGTTAAGCACATACTCTGGCTCACAGTGCGAGAATCTGACAGGGAGTCTAAGACACGAAGCAGCACCCTAGAATTTAGGTCTTAATTAAATTTAATTTAAGAGAGGATCTAGAGACACGCTAATAGCTTACTAACATTAATAGTTAACACTCTTAATTAGCTTACTGTCGCAGCAAGGATCGAGGTGAGGGTGCATATCACGTGATCCGCATCTGGATATTGGTCCGATTAGACACTAGCGATCTATCACGCCATGGTGAGCGGAATTAGGTATAGCTTGGAGCCGTAATTAGGGCTCTAATTAGGGCATAGCTGGATGAGCATTGGTGTATATATTCTGCTCATTTAGCACCGTAGATAGAACAAGGAACTTGATCACTTTCTTCACACTTGTTCAACAATCAGAGACCACTCAGCTTCCACACTTACTAAAGGCGCAGAGCTAATAGCACATTTACTAGTTTTAGTGCGCAACTAGGTTGCTAACCTTTAGGTAGCTAACAAGGCTGCTACACGCTGTAAATCACACAAAAGAAAGCAAGTATAGCAATATAGGGTATTAACCTTTGCTAAGGGAGTGTAGCTAACTAATCTAAAGGAGTTTAAGGCCTATAGTAATAGGAAGAAGGCAAAGAAGAGAGGAGACGCTAATAGCAGCACTTAGTTATTAAGACACTGTAGCATGTGTGGCAAGGCAGGGCACAACAGGACAACGTGTAGGAAAGATGCGCAAAGTACTATAGATTAGTGCAATATACTGTGTAGTACATGATATTGTTGTTGTGTGCTGTAATGTTGTAAAGTAGTTGTAGTCTTGGTGTAGTCTTGGCAAAAGTGAGCCACTCGCTTGTGTGAGCCTGTCAGATAAGAGCAAGCGGCGAGAGGTCAGATCTGCGCAATCGAGCAGGGACCTGTCGCGCAGCCAATTAGCAGTTGCCAGGTCGATTAAGCGAGACCTGGCAACTCCTGATTGGCCCGCACACAGGCGGCCGCGAACAGCGCTAATTCCCCCCCACTTCAATCCTGTAGCAACCAGCACGACGCGGACGGAGACACCATCGCCACAATCATCAATATATCATCATACCACCTAAGATCTTGTTAAGCACATACTCTGGCTCACAGTACAAGCATATGACAATTAAGAGTCTCACTACTGTAACTAAAATAGCGCAACTAACGTACCACAACCTAATAACAGTCCTTAGGGACTAAGCTGACTAGACTAGCTAGCTTGCGCAGCTACAGGCAAGATGCCTGTCACGCAATATCTAGAACAAGATTGTAAAGAAAGTAGTGGAAGGACCTAGACAAATCTAGACTAGCTTTGTCCAAATAGGAAGCTTATAGCCTAATAAAGGTAAGGTAGGGTTATGTAATATAATAGACAAGTTATTATATTAGATACTAGGTAGAGATTCCTAGGTTAGGTACAGAGCGAACAGAGGGGGGAGAGCCAGAGGTATTTATGCTTCCTCTCCTCTGTCTGTATTTCTAAGCAGAACGTTCTAGACTACATCGGGAAAAGTTTTTCGAAATCCGGCCTAGACTGGCCGTTGCTGACAGTCGTGGCATGGTCGTGCAACGGCCGTTCAACGGCCCCAACGGCCCCAATTTGCGCCCAACGGCCCCAATTTCGCGCCAACGTTGCCAACGGCCAAAACGCTGAGTGCCTGTCGCGGTATAGGAACAGCGCATATGCAGAAGGAATTGAAGGATTGAACTGAGGTTGTATTGTATGTAGCTATGGACTGTTGTTATAGGAGAATAGCGGTGAGGTGTAACTGGAAAGGGCAGGGTGTACTACGTTGTACAGCAGTAGAGATATGAAACTGTGATACGTGGTACAAGAGAAAA